GTTTGTTTTTTTTTTTTTTTTTTTTTTTTCGTTATTGACCTTCCCGCCATTTTGTAAGGAGACTGGTTTGGGTTGAATGTCTACATGAGCAGTTTTAAGGTTATGTTTTTTTTAATACGATATATGTCGTAAATGACGTATATCAAAAATAAATATGGGGTTCTTAAAGTATATAGAAGTGCACAATTTCAAATCTTATAAAGGAAAACAGAAAATTGGCACTTTGAAGCCTTTTACAGCGATAATCGGTCCAAATGGATCAGGTAAGACAGTTTCTGATTTAGGCCTAACTTTAATTTAGATACGTCTTTTTAGTGTTAGTTAGGCTTAACATTGTTTTGAACCCGCTTCAGTTTAACAGTACTAAAAGTAAAACGACAAACATTGACGAAAACGTTTCATAAGTTGAGTAAATCATGTGTGTTTTAAATTACAAAAGAAATTAGGGTAAAAAAATTAAATAAATCTTAAAGTTTTTATAATTTAAAAACTAACAATTAACTTATTAAGTTGTACTTACAAGTACAAGTTACATTAACTTGATTAAGTTACAATGTTACAAGTATTACATAACATAGTAGTTTTAGGCCTATTCTTTTAGTTTTAATTATACTGACGTGCTAAAATATATAAAAATTGAAGTATGTACACTCACTGATCCAGTAATATTTTAAAAACATTTCAGTTATTTAGTTCAATATAGTATTACTATTAATATTGGACCTAACTCTCAGTGTCAAGCAGTATTTGCATAATTGCTAATGCTACTATTATGTGACATAAAGTTTAATTTTATTTATTAAGGTATAAGCCAAAAATAAGTTTTATATCAGAAGTAATTATAATTAAAATTGACAGTAACATGTATATCTTTAAGTTAAACTTAAAAACGGAAAATTACTTTATGTTACACTTTTTGTATTATAATTTTATTTTTGACTATACTGACTGGTTTAAGAATATGGAGCAGTTTTATCTCAGTACTGTAAATCCAAGATCTTTGTATGTATCCGAGTCACATATACAGAGGATTGGTGCTGTATGCTATCATTATAGTTTAATAAAATATATGCAGCTAATGTGACTTCACTCAATAGTTTATAAATACTTTAATAATTTTTATCAAATCAAAAAGTTTTCCATTTTCTCTCATTTAACAGACTGAATATCATTGTACTTTCTAATAAATTTAATATATGTATGTAAGTAGCTAATTGTTTGAGAAGTGTAACTGTTTTGAATTCTCTCATACAATGTGTACTTTCTGTTTCTAATAAAATGTCTACTTTTGTTTTGAAAGTCCAGTAGCTTTACAGATAATCTAAGTATATATGAACAAAATGTGATTGTAAAAAAAATTTTTTATCTCTCTAACTAGGAAAATCTAATTTTATGGATGCCATTAGCTTCGTGCTTGGAGAGAAAACGTCGTGTCTTCGTGTGAAAAAGCTTGGGGTAAAAAAAATTAGTCTCAGAAATTACTATTTTGTTGTTGTTGTGTTTTTTTTTAAGGGGGGTAACATTGAAAGACACTTAACAGTTTTATTATAATCATAAACAGATGTTTCTAAATTGTAGAGTAAAAAAGATCTTGCAAACTTTTTTTTCATCTTCTTTTGACTAAAATTATTTTTAGTTGAAAATATTTTAATTAGTGAAGATTTCTTGCCTTCATATAGTATAGTATCTTTTAAATCTGTTTCTGAAAATTTTCTAATATATGCCTGAAGAGTTTCATTAAAAACAAGTTATTTATAAACTCTTACAAGTGGAAACTAAACTTAGTTTTAAGAGATAAAGTAATCTAGCATGCACATAGTTTCCTGTTATCATCAGAGCCAGAGAATTGTTTCTAGTTAGTTGCAGAAGCAGCTTGTTAATGTATGATATAACCTAGTTCTTCTATTTTAGATATATGACAATGATACATCACTAGCTGTAGAATTACATCTCTCGTCTTGTTGTTAACCACACTTGTTTTTATCCTTCATCTCCTTTACTTCACTAGGACCTCATACATGGTGCTCCTATAGGAGCACCAGTCTCGTCCAGAGCAAGTGTCACTGCTGTATATTGTGAAAATGATGGCACAGAAATCAGTTTTACGAGGCTTGTGACTGGATCGTCCTCGGAGTATAGGATAGATAACAAAGTAAGTATGTGTGATGAAAGACTTTATTTTTTCTAAGAATTTTCTCTCTTCCCTGTTTCTTGACCACTAATTTTTGAAAAAAAAATATTAATAAAGAATATTAAAATTTAAGCAAAACAAATTACATTCTTAAAAAGTGCTTTTATTTGTTCATGTGCTTAGAATCAGGCTAGTAGTAAATTAGCCTATTTTAGCACAACACGTACAGTGGTGTAAATACAACAAAAGCAAGGGTTTCAATTAGTGGTAAGAAAACTACTCTATCAAGGCCTCTAACTGAACCATAACCAGTTATCAGGGTAATGGTGAAGACCCTAGTAGTATACTATAGATAACAATTAGTGATAAGAAAACTACCCTATCAAGGCCTCTAACTGAACCATAACCGGTTATCAGGGTAATGGTGAAGACCCTAGTAGTATACTATAGATAACAATTAGTGGTAAGAAAACTACTCTATCAAGGCCTTGTTATCTATAGTATACTACTAGGGTCTTCACCATTACCCTGATAACTGGTTATGGTTCAGTTAGACTAGTGGTAAGAAAACTACCCTATCAAGGCCTCTAACTGAACCATAACCAGTTATCAGGGTAATGGTGAAGACCCTAGTAGTATACTGTAGACAACAATTAGTGGTAAGAAAACTACTCTATCAAGGCCTCTAACTGAACCATAACCAGTTATCAGGGTAATGGTGAAGACCCTAGTAGTATACTATAGATAACAATTAGTGATAAGGAAACTACCCTATCAAGGCCTCTAACTGAACCATAACCAGTTATCAGGGTAATGGTGAACCTATAGATAACAATTAGTGATAAGAAAACTACCTTATCAAGGCCTCTAATTGAACCATAACCAGTTATCAGGGTAATGGTGAAGACCCTAGTAGTATACTATAGATAACAATTACTGATAAGAAAACTACTCTATCAAGGCCTCTAACTGAACCATAAACAGTTATCAGGGTAATGGTGAAGACCCTAGTAGTATACTATAGATAACAATTAGTGATAAGAAAACTACTCTATCAAGGCCTCTAACTGAACC